CCTGAGACCGCACCACGCACCAATGCTTGTGTTTTAAATAGTACATAAAGTTCTGTTAATATAAGCATTAAATATGTCATGGGTTACAATAGGGTTATACAATAACATTTAGTTCGACGCGAATTTTAAGACAAGTATGGTATCATATTTCATAATATAACAAACAATGTAAACTTGCCATACATTTTGCCGAACATAACTTCGGCCCCTTTGGACATATCTTTTTCGTGATAATATTATTGGGACCAGAATTGAAAACACTATTTATAGTGTTATTTTCAAGCTTGTGTCTTGGGATTTTCATCTTTTATTTCGGTATTTACAGAATATTTATATTTTTAGTGCGGTGATCAAAACAACGCGCTGTTTAGAAAAAACCGGAAATCGATTCTGTAGGTCGACATGATTTGCACGTGCATCAATCGATGTAAAAACCCGATATTTTGAAAAAAATGCGAGTAAAAACCCAATATTTTGAAAAATTCAAAATAAATATTCCTACTCTGTGCCGTATTCAAACGAAACTTTGTACATGAAAGCGCTTGAATACAAAATGTATTTTACTCACATTGACTCTGAGCAAATTCTGAAGAGTTACTAAAGAATACTAAAGCAGGGTGCATTGCCTGTTAATGGGTTAATAAGAGACCAATGTCAGATGTGTTTGGTAACCCATTTACTGACAGTACTCTGCCACTAACAAGTAAAATCATCTGGCGTTACAGTGTAAATTGGTCTGGCGTTACGCCGTTAGCCAGAGTTAATACTAAATTGCATTGTCAGCTAATAGGTTAATAAATAGACCTTAATGTCCACTTTTGACCCAATGACTTCATTTTCATGTTGGCTATTTACTCGTATTCCGTGCACACAATTTAAGAATGAGTTTGTGAACGGGCTTAAATGATAAACGAGAAGGAAACATTGGGGATAATATAACCGAGAATTGTCTAGAAGTATAAATTTTTGCATTCAGTTCATATGCGATAAATGCAGCACTTTCCTTGCGATAGTAACTCCTAGTATTAGATTTGCACCATTAAGACCGAAAAGGTCTTTTTTTAAAAAAGTCCATAAAATTTGCTTGCGGTTTAAGATTTGTATTGCTGCCTTTTGCACCATAGCACGTATCTCGTTATTTTCAGGCCAGTGTGAACGCCTGAGCAGGCGTCATGTTGTGTTATTGTTCACTCGATAGTATGATAAGGAGAAATATCATATGAGATATATCATAAGTTTTCTGCTTGCGCGCTGTCTGGGAATAATGAAATAGCAGAATAGCATTTTCCTTATTTTTTTGGTTGGGGACTGTATACTTTTAATATTTAGGTGGGAGTCTTCATTATTAAGAGCAGTTTTTAGTGTGAAGTTTCTTCGAAACTTCGCAATATTGTGATGGTGGCGAAAATTCATCACACTATCAGTCATTCATTCAGTCAGTCATTCAGTCATAGAGTAAACTTTTCAGGGGGTGTATACGATTTATGTTCTCAGTGATTTGTTGTACTTAGTCAGTACTTTGAAAGTTTTTTAGGTAATTTCAGTTGTCTTCTTTAAATATTCTTTAGGCCTTTTGCCAGGTTCACAAAAATTTCGAGGAATTGTTTTCGTTATGGTAATTTTTTGTAAATTTTATAACATTCGCTTCTCATGTTGTGTAAAGGATATTTACCCCGGAACACCCGATTTTTTCTTTAGCAGCGCAAATGCGCATGCGCTATCAAGCCGTAGGCCACGATGGCGTGACGATATGCAGGAAGGAGCGACAGTGTTGTTTTCAAATGTATAAACATTTCAGACGTGAATCTTTGAGAATCTACGCAATATATAAATTGATGTTATGCATTACGGACATTCAATTAAGTGCCGATATTATTTAGACGGTATATTCATTATACAGAGCTAGGAAGGAGCTGGGAACAGTGCTTTTTTTCAAGTGTATATTATTAAAACACTTCAGACGTAAATACTGAGTCGAAAATCTTTGAAATTCTAGGCATTCAATTGAGTGCCGATATTATTTTCACGGTATACTCATTATACAGAGGTAGCACGTAGGAAGGAGCGAGACAGTGTTGTTTTCAAATATATAAACATTTCAGACATGAATATTGAGAAAATCTTTGCCGATTCTACGCAATATATAATTGATGTTATGCATTACCGGCATTATTAGTGCCTATCAATATTATTTAGACTGTGTGTATTCATTATACATTGACTGTATAAGGTGCTACACCACAGATTACAGAATAGACTAGAAAATACATGTCATGCAGAAACCCTCGCCTTGCTGACAAAACCATTGCATTTTCCGAACATGAAGTATCTAAAGTAGTTGTCATGGTAACACGACAATTTTTTAAGAATATTCTTACAAATGAAAAATAGCCTAAAAATATCACTTCTAATTACAAAATTATCAATTTCCCAACATTTATTAGTCTGCGCACAGACTGTCTCTTCCCCCCCC